TCCCAATATGCCAACAGATTTGCTTATTCTTTCTTCTCCAATAAATGGAGAAGCTGGGAACCTCAGGGCTGAGGCATGCCACCATGGCTCGAGGTTGACAGCTGTCGAAGGAGGACTGGGTATATATTGCAGTACGAGTGGCTGAGGGCATGTTCAACAGGGGAAGAATGACTTCTGGGCTCTTCCACAGCCTGGGTCACTGCACCAGCAGGAAGATAGGTTCTTAACCACAGCCTGAGACTACTTCATTGACATTTCAGTTTTAGTTTATACACAGAACCGGCTGTTATACACCTTAAAATGACTATAGGGTACTCTTCAGCTGTCTCGTGTCTATTTCCATTTTAGTATTTAGCAGTTTATAGTGCTGAAGCATCATTTTGCTGAACTTGGCAGATCTTAGGATAGTCTAAACTGGCTTATAACTCTAGCAAGACGTATGTCAACAGTTGAAATGCAGAACAGTTTTAGGAGGGGTGTGCAGAGAAATTTTCCATAACTTACTGAGGAGTAGCTAATCTTTGTTTACAATCTAGTAAGGAATGTGTGAGTCCGTGATGACCACTTCCTGTCTGGTTCTAAGCTTTCCTTGTTGTTCTCTATCTAGTCTAATTTTTTGTTGTTGTTTTGTTTTTGGGGGGGAGAGGGGGACTCTGGAGCGACCGTGATGGTCATTGCCAGAGAGGGTGGGGATCCAAAGTTGGAACTAAGTAAGGACCAGAGAAAACTCCTCTCCCTAGTCCCGAAGGAAGCTTTCTGCTCTTCTGTTTCTGTAGACCACTCAGGGCTTCTGGCTGTTGTTCCAATGACCTTGGATCTTGCGAGGAAGGATTTGGGCTTCTTTTATCCCATGTGATACATCCAAATGGAGGTGGGTGACTTCAGAGTTCTCAGCCTCTCCGAAGGCACTCCAATTCCCCGTGGTCTCCTTGGCAGTTGGGATGTAGTCCTTGGTGTCCGTACTGATAGACATTGGTGAGGATCCGGGAGTCTCCAGGGTTGGGATACAAGCCTCCTCCTGTCCACCTGCTTCACTCTGGGGTCTCCCCCTGCTCTGTGCATATGACCTCCTGTGAAGAGGTTGTCAGGATCGCTCTTGATTCCCCCTGTATGTCTTTGTAGTTTTACTATTGTCTAACGCTGATTCGAGTCTGTTTTCTATAAGTTACCTGCTTTGTTCCTGGCAGGTTATACTTCAGGTCTTCCTCACGCCTTCTAAGGAGATGGAAGATTTCTCTGTTCTCCTGCCCTATTTCCGAGTAGCTTAGGGTCTTAAAAGTGTATTAGGTTTTACAATTCATTGATCATAAGCAGTCTGACTTACATTGATTGTTCATTCATTAGTTACATCACAAGATCTTACTGCATGAGATACAGGCTGTTTGGGGTTGGAATAATATTGCAGACTACTACAAGTGCTGTGGTTTTTTTTTTTTTGATTGGCATCATTTCATCTTAAATTAAGGCTTAAAATAATGCTTTTTAGTTTCATCACTGTGGTTTTCCACATCTTTGGTGAGATTCGTTCCAAAGAATTCGCAATTCCCCTCTGCTATTTTAAGGAGGGATGCAGTTACAATTTTTTTTTCTCAGTTACGGAGTTATTTGTGTATACTAATGCCATTGATTTGTGTTTATTAATTTTGCATCCTGTCACCTTGCCAAAGGCTGTTTTGAGTTCCAACAGTCCCTTATGTAGACTTTTGGGAAAACCAGCACTGTGAGTTTGATGTCAACAGCCTGCGCTTGGAAGCAGAGCAAAGGAGCACAGGTGATGTTTCTTGTGTCAGGGTCCCAGGTACACTTTCTTTTCCCCATTCCCTCCTCCATCAGTGTCAACCAGTCCTCAGAGACTGGGACATCCTGGACCCGCTGGCTAATGAGGAGCTCTGGGCACTGAGCCCCCAAGGGTCCTTCAAGGGTAAATAATGAGCCAGCACCTTCAGACTTGGGCTTTGCCAGTGGAGATATTGAAGCCCTGTGCTATGGGCCAAAGCATTGTGAGCTCCTGCGTGAGAAGGACGCAGCCTGAGTCTGTTTCTGCTCCAATCCTGAGTAAAGAATGTGAGGCACCACTGCATGATGGGAAGAGGAGGAGCAGCAGAGCCCTCAGCCTGGGTCATGCCTCAGCTGAGACTCAGCAGAGCCTGGTAAGTGCTGAGGGAGACAAAGGCATTGCGGAATATCAGAATCACCATTTTTCCCATCATGGAGACAAAGGTGCTAGCTGTGACAGAGGGGAGAGAACCATTAGGCAGCCTTTAGGCTCAGGATGTTGGGAAGTTTATGGTCGTGGATCTTACAGGTGAGAACCAAAAACTCATCCTTCGTTTTCTTACCTCTCACATGGATTTTGTTTCCTAATGGGATTTCTTTCATGATAGTAGGAATGGAATATACATGAACTGTCCCTGCACACCCAGGAAGGTGAGGATCAGAGAGAGGGCAAGCAAAGCATCACAGACCTCAACTGAGAGCTTCCTTCCATTTCCAGATTCTGCAATCTATATCCTATGTAGCTTGCTTTATTCCACTGCATCATCTCCCAAGTAATGCTGCACACATTTTTTGTTTATAGAAGATGGTAGGGCAGCAGTGTCCTTGTGGGACTTGTTATAAAATTATCAGCTAGAAGAAATGAAAGATAACTAACGTTCAGCTTGCCAGATTGCAATGCATTCCTAGCATCGCTCTCATTGCCCTGCGATGGCCCAGGCATTTCTCATTTCTCTGCCTCAAGAAAGAGGCCTTTCTGCACACTGTGCTATTCCTTTGGGGTTTCATTTACCATTCATGGTGGGTAGGAACTGGTGAAGGGTGGCAGAGATCGGAGAGAGAGCAGGCACAGGTCATTCAGAAATGATCTCTCTCTCTGGAGAAATATCACTTAAGCCTTCCGTTTCCCTCACTCCTTTTTAATCAGCCCAATCTGTCTCAAAATGAGACAGTCATTTGGGGTGTGAGTTCCATGTCTGCTGCAGAATCGGCAGAGCGAATAACGATGAACTTCAGACGTATCCGATGTTTTCGCCTCTGGATCTCTAACTTTCTGATTGATTAGGAACAGTGGACGCAGAAACAATGTCATTTTCAATCCTGATCACTCCACTGATACATTTTTTAACTGTGGGGTGAGAAGTGTTTCGCAATCTATGATACTGGCCTTGTCATCTGAGTGGACACCTCCTTGAATGATGAATGAATGCATAATGGAAAACTCCTGTGTGACCTACAGCAAGATGAATCAAGAATGGACAAACACATTTTACGTAGTGTAATTATTTCTTAAAAGGAACGGTTTCATTCACTAAAATACAATCTGCTGGACACCGTGGATTCCAATTCTTCACCAGGATATGCTGCTGTTCTCCTATTATGAGCCCTGCATTCATGAACATTGGGAGAAGTTTTGGGTTTCCTGCGGTGCAAGCATTTTTAAAATTTATGCTTATGCCTTCTGCATTTTACATTTCCTACACACCACAAAATATTCTGTGCCAAGCTATTCTCATATTAAAATAAACTCACAGCTTGATTTGATTTGTATAGCAGTTTTTAGAGTGCAAATATACCCTGACTCATATTAAGCTGTGTATTTTTTTTTTTTTTTGGAGAATGCCTGCCTTTTGTTTTTAATTTCCCAAGCACCATTGGGTTGTTGGCACAGGGGGATGCATGCTAACCAAAATTCTCTATTGCTGCTGTCATGTCCTTTTTAGATTCATGATGATTGGCCACAGTCAGTGTGTCTGTGACCCCCTGGGTGTCTGCTGTCAGCACCTCCATCCTCTGCAGGAATGTCCAATGGGAACAGTGAGGATTTCCTGTTGGGACAGCAAATACTCCTTATGAATAGTAGGGAATGCATGTCATAAATTTGCAACTTTTAAAAACAGTTCCATTCAGAGATCTTTAAGTATTTTTCATGCATGTGACATGGTCAGAGACATAACAATTTTGAAAATGCTGTCATCACAATAAACAAGTTAAATGATGTTGTTTTCTCTAGTCATGTTGGGCCAGAGAGAGGATTCGGACAAAGTGTGTGTGCCTGAGAGAGAAAAACAAATATGAATGCTGACAAGGCAGTTTGGCAGTGAAACTGCTAAAGAGAGAGAGAGAGAAAGAGAGAGAAAAAGAGGCAGAGAGAGAGGGGGAGAGAGAGAGAGCACGTGCGAGAGAGAGCTCTTGCATTCATGGGCTCACTCCCCAAAGGGCCAAAATAAATGGAACTGAGCTACTCCAAAGTCAGAAGCCAGGAGATTCATCTAGGTCTCCTGTGTGTGTATGTACAGTGACTCAAGACTTGGTCCACTTTCAGCTGCTTTCCCGGGCATACTTACGAGGGGTTGGATTGTAGGGGAGCCAGCATTCAATCCAAAGCAGTGGCCGTAAGAATGCTGGAATCACAGACAGTGGCTTTATCAGATACAGCACAAAAGTCGCCTAAATGTGTTTACGCTGCTTAAATAAACTCTAAATGCTTTGAAGGTGAGATTTAGAGAACTTTTTAGACCCTCAGAAACCAGTTTTGACACGAAGGGCATGAATTGTGCTGCAGTAGGTGAAGTCTGCCTCATCTCTGGGTGATGAGGCTCACGGATCCAGCACCTAATGCAGAAGTGATACCAAGGACCTGGACCAGGTGACTCTGTAAATATTCTAAGTCAAGAAATTCACCACCACCCTTGAATAAGGCAGGTGTATTTGAGCTGCAAAGGGAGGAAAAGTACCCCCAATGTGTCTTCTTAGCTTCTCTATTATAATGTGTCTGTCATAGATTAGAGTTCATTTTATGCTTACCAAGTGTGAAAAGGATGAGAATCTTCAAATACTGTAAAAAAAAAAAAAGAGCCATCTAAAAATTATGTATTTTAAAGTGTTCTGCACCTGTATTTTTATCTTCAAATTCCATTTTATATATTCCATTCCATATATCGTATAGTTTCCCCAATATCAAGTTGAATTGCTAATATATGCAACTGTGGTGTGCCTTTTTGTTTTTCACCAACTCCATTTTCTTTTCCTGAAGGAATGTTGGTTATTTGGAAAAAGACAACCACACACGTGTCTCAGAATTCCATCTCATGAGCTTCTCCGAGGATCCTGACTTGCAGCCCCTCCTCCTGGGACTGTTCCTCTCCATGTACCTGGTCACAGTGCTCGGAAACCTGCTCATCATCCTGGCTGTCACCTCTGACTCCCACCTCCACACACCCATGTACTTCTTCCTCTGCAACCTGTCCTTGGTTGACGTGGGGTTCACCTCCACCACGGTTCCCAAGATGATTGTGGACATCCTCACCCACAGCACAGCCATCTCCTATGCCGGCTGCCTGACTCAGATGTCTGTGGTTGTCCTCTTTGGAACCATGGATGATTTGCTTCTGACGGTGATGGCCTATGACCGGTTTGTTGCCATCTGCCACCCCTTGCGTTACCAGGTCCTCATGAGTCCTAACTGCTGTCTCTTTTTGGTTTCAGTTTCCTTTGTGGCCAGCCTTTTAGATGCCCTGCTGCAGGATTTGCTGGTCTTAGGGGTTGCATGCTTCAAGGGAGTAGAGATTTCTGATTTCTTCTGTGTCCCTTCTCAAATTCTCAGCCTCACCTGTGCTGATACCATCAGCAGCAACATCGTCATATATTTTGTTGGCATCATATACGGTTTTGTCCCTGTGTCAGGGATCTTTTACTCTTACTCTAAAATTGTCTCCTCCATTCTGAGGGTCCCATCTCCAGGTGGCAGGTACAAAGCCTTCTCCACCTGTGGCTCTCACCTGGCTGTGGTTTGCTTATTTTATGGAACGGCACTTGGTATGTATCTCAGTTCCTCCTTCTCAGGTTCAGCTGGAAAGGGTGTTTCAGCCTCCTTGGTGTACACAGTGGTCACCCCCATGCTGAACCCCTTCATCTACAGCCTGAGGAATAAGGACATGAAGAGGGCCATGTGGAAGCTTCTCAAGAACGCAGTAGCGGTCTCTGCACCAAGCATTTGGAGCAATGGAGGGAAAAGAGCCAAGGCTAATCATACAGACTTACGGGTCCCACCTCCCTCATGATGTGTGAAGTACTTGTCCTCTGCAATCGTGTGTGGATAGTTGTCGCTGTCCCGCAGCGATGGACTTGGCGCTCAGAGCAGCTAATAACATGCGTGGACTCTGACTGATGGTCAAAAGCCGAAGTTCATTGGTGGCCGCAGGCTTTATACACTGAGGGTTATGTGGGATAAGGGAGGGAGTATTGAGTTCATTAACAAAACCCAGTAACAGTTTCTATGCTTTTGTCTGGAACTCCTTTTGTCTTGTCTATCCCACCAAGTGTTCTCACACACGTACTGTCCACTCAGCTGTTCTTATACAAATGAGCTCGCTGACCTTCTAGGGTCACAATGTCCTCCTACAGATATTACTCCTTTTGACTCTTTCATGGAGAATATTTGCAGATTTTTCAAAATACATGGTAAGCATCACATGCCACAATACTCTTTCACCTATGGACAGTCATGTACTGTATTAGTGATGATCCAGGTATCCTGGATAGATTTTCAGCATAGTTTTAGTATTTTTAAAGTTCCCATTTTTTTTTCTCCCTGAATCATATAGAATTCTATACGCAATAGGAATGTAACTTTTTCATTCGTTTTTTAAAAAATTTATGATACAGTTCCATAGGCTCAAGGTTTTCCCATACCCACTCCGAAACCTACCCTATTGATTTCCCCTATCTCGTTACAATGGTATAGCCATTTTTGAAAAAGATTTATTTATTTGTTTATGGAAAGGCAACTATACAGAGAGGAGTAGAAAAAGAGCGGAAGATTGTCCGTCTGCTGGTTCACTCCCCAAGTGACTGCGATGGCTAGAGCTGAGCCAATACGAAGCTAGGAGCAAGGAGCTTCTTCCAGGTCTCCCACGCAGGTGCAGGGTCCCAAGGCTTTGGGCCGTCCTCGACCGCTTTCCTAGGCCACAAGCAGGCAGCTGGATGGGAAGTGGAGCTGCCGGGATTAGAACCTGCACGCATATGGGATCCCAGCATGTTCAAGACTCTGACTTTAACCACTACGCTATCACGCTACGCCCAACAATAGTATAGTCTTTCATAAACAATCATAAGCCCATAATTGCACTGTTTATTTGTATCCTGACATTGTACGTATGGATAGTGGCAGAGATTCCAGCATCAAGATATATTTAACAGCTTCATTTGGCATCCGTATTCGATTTAGAATAAAGACGCATACTGTCTTGTATAATCACATCCTGATAGAATAATGTCGGTGGCACACTTAATACACATCTCCTTAAAAGAGAAGCCATAAAATATCAACACCGCAGAAAAATAGAAAAACTACAGCATGAAATTAGCAACATGCTACTGAATGACCAATGCGTTGCTGAGGAAATGAAAAAGCAAATGATACCACCGCATGACACACGAGTTAATCAAGAATTTAATAACAAAAAGGAAGCTATTTTGAGGAAATGACAATAAACACAAAAATATCTAAGTCCGTGATATGCAGCACAAACAGTGCTTAAAGGCTTTTGATCTTCTTTTTTGCAAGGAGGGTACCGTTCTTCCCACATCCGCACCAGCAGATGTTGTTTGCAGTCTTCTTAATACAGCAATCTCACTGGCATTTGGTGGAACCTCAGTGTGGTTTTTATTTTATTTCCCTGCAAGCTAAAGAGCCTGAACATTTTTTCATATGTTTATTAGCCATTTGAATTTGTTTTGTTTTCATATTCATTGATTTTGATTGCAAAGTCATATATACAGAGGGGAGGAGAGACAGAGAGGAAGATCTTCCGTCCGATGATTCACTCCCCAAGTGACTGCAATGGCCAGAGCTTAGCCGATCTGATGCCATGCACCAGGAGCTTCTCCTGGGTTTCCCACATGGGTACAGAGTCCCATGACTTTGGGCCATCCTTGACTGCTTTCCCAGGCCACAAGCAGGGAGCTGGATGGGAAGTGGAGCTGCCGGGATTAGAAACGGTGCCCATATGAGATCCTGGGCATTCAAGGTGAGGACTTTAGATGTTAGGCCATGGCAGGGCCCAGCCATTTGAATTTGTTCTATCCATATGTGTCTAATCATTTCACAAGTTGTGTGTTTTGCTGTCATTGAGTTTCTGAAGCTCTCTGTAAATCCTGGATATTAGTCCTGTATCAGTTGTGAAGTGTGCAAAGATTTTCTCCTGTCTTGTGGTTTGCTTCTTCACTTGGGAATGCTTCCTTTGCTGTACAGAAGGTCTTCAGTTTTATTTTAGTAGACCCATTTGTTTGTCTTCAGCTGTGGCTTTTCTAAGAAGTTTCTCCCACTTGCTAGATCTTGGTCAATGTGTGCTGATCTCCGTGCCACTGGCAGCCAGAGCTCTAATGGCAGCCAGAGCTCCACTGGCAGTTAGCACTCCAATAGCAGCCAAACGAGAAAGAAATGTTTACAGGGAGCTCAGGAACACAGGCAAACAAGCATTCATCTCACCGATTTGATTAACCTGACCATGAGCAGAGATGGAGCAGCAGATGGAAAGTGACCGGTGCAGAAAAAGGATGAACTTTACAACTCAGATCCCCCACCTGAACTGCATTGAGCATCATTTTATGTAGTGGACGTAAAGACTGCATGATTGGAGGTACGACAGTGAGCTACGCATGCTCCAACCTGGGCTAGGCACATTGCACTGTTCCCACAGATAAGACAGTATGAAATTGGCATCCTATGGCTTCCAACCAAAATAGGTCTGGCTGGCGCCCAGTTCCGGCCAGCAGATCCAGAATTCCTTTAGTCAGGTGTCATGCTGAGCAGTGTGGCAGAGGCTGTGAGACTTGAGGGAAAAGAATGAGTTACTCACGTGTTAACATGGGAGCAATCTCACTTCTGGTTCAGTGACTTGCACTGGTCCCACAAGGAAAAAAATACCGGTGAGGTGTCCTATAGGTTCTCCCCAAGATAGGTCCAGGTGGCCTCAGACCTAATAGCCAGCAGGTTCTGGCAAGATCAGTACCAGTGACAACCCAGTTACTTAGGACAGCTTGTGTATCCCTAAGCCTGGGCACTGCTCAAACTGGAAGTGGGAGAAAGGCTGTATAGGCAATGGATCACAGAAGGTGGACAGTGTTGAGCCAGTAGCTGGGACTATGGAGGGAGACTAGAGTGAAAGCCTAGCACAAGAGCCTAGGCCTGGAACTTGCTAGAAGGAGTGCTACAAGTGACCACAAATGAAGATCTGGGCACCAAATCCCATCAGTAAAATCAGACCCATAGGTTTGTGGGTGACACAGTTTAGAAACCAACTCTAAGGAGAATATACTCAACAAAAGTGCAACGACCAAGAGCAAAATAAGAGACGGAGAAACAGTGGCTGTTACTGATGCCGGCACTGTAAAGCAACAAAAGCCTTTTTATAAATTATTATTACAAGGTCAGATATACAGAGAGCAGGAGAGATAGAGAGGAAGATCATCCATCTGAAGATGCACTCCCCAAGTGACCGCAACGGCAGGTGCTGTACCAATCCGAAGCCAGAAACCAAGAACCCCTCCGGGTCTCCCACACAGGTGCAGAAACCTCCCAAGACTTTGGGCCATTCTCTACTGCTTTCCCAGGCCACAAGCATGGAGCTGGATGGGAAGTAGAGCTGCTGGGACCAGAACCGGCGCCCACATGGAATCCCAGCACATGCAAGGCGAGGACTTTAGCCGCTAGGCCACGGTGCAGCTAAAGCCTTTTTTAACCTCAGAGTTACCTGAGAAAGACATCAACAAAATAGAGAAAAAGAAATTTGAAAAACATGTGATATAGTTTCTTTATTTTTTAAAGATTTATTTTTATTATTTTTTTATTGGAAAGGCAAATATGCAGAGAGGAGAGACAGAGAGGAAGATCTTCCGTCCGATGATTCACTCCCCAAGTGAGCGCAATGGCCGATACTATGCTTATCCAAAGCCAGGAGCCTCCTTCTGGGTCTCCCACGCGGGTGCAGGGTCCCAAAGCTTTGGGCCGTCTTCGACTGCTTTCCCGGGCCACAGGCAGGGAGCTGGAAGGGAAACGGGGCTGCTGGGATAGAACCGGTGCCCATATGGGGTCTTGGGCGTGCAAGGCGAGGACCTTAACCACTTGCGCCAAGGCGCCAGGCCAGATATAGTTTTTTAACAATGAGAAGCAAATAGAGGAGTTGAAGCAATTTTAGGAATATATCACCCAAGAATAGTAGCACTGAAACAAAATCAAGCTGTATTATTAGAAAAGCAGGACACCAAGAAGCAAATTGATTCAGTTGAAAGCCTCATTAACAGAATGAATGAGGCAGAAGAAAGAATCTCAGAATTGGAAGAAATTTCCTGAAACAATAGGGAAACAATGTAAAAGCTGGAAGTGGAGCTGTTCATGCTACAAAATAAAAGAAGAAGAACCAAGAGACACCATTAAAAGGTTGAATCTAAGAGTTACGGGACTTCCAGAAGGCACAGAAGGAGAAAATCTATTCAATAAAACAGCATATAAAAACATCCCTAAAATGGAGAAAGGATTGGGAGACAAGATCCAGGAGGGGCACAGAACTCTCAACAGTGTTCACCAAAAGCAATCTCCACTGTGACACATGATAATCAAGCTCTCTTCAATCAAACATATAGAAAAGATCCTTAACGATGCACCTGAGAAAAATCTATTAACATGTAAAAGAATCTCAGACTCACAGCTAACCTCTCAGAGGAAACCCAACAGGACAGAAGAGAAGGGAGTAGCATGGTCCATAGTCTTTTTTTTTTTCATTTTCATTTTTGAAATTTATCGTACAATTCTGTGTAGTCTGGGATTCCCCTACCCCCAGCTTCCACCCCCCTGATTCATTTTTCCCCATAATGTCACAACATAGTCCATGTTGTAAAATTAAAAAATTCTCAGCCCTGAATAACATACCTGACAAAGCTTTCCATTGACTTCAAAAATGTAAGAAAAGTTTTCAAAAGTAAAAAAACATTGCAGAGAATTTGCCTCTTCCCGACCTACTGCAAAAATGATACTTAAAGATGTTCCTTTGACTGAGAACAGGAACAGCATCTGCCCAAACCAAAGACAAAAGTAGGGAATGTTCCAGTAACACAACAAAGGGAAACTGAATCAAACAATGAACAGCCATTGCTAAAATGACAGGACCAAATCACGACCTATTGATTTTATTATTTTTTAAGATTTATTTATGTTTATTATAAAGTCAGATATACAGAGAGGAGGAGAGACAGAGAGGAAGATCTTCCGTCCAATGATTCACTTTCCAAGTGACTGCAACAGCTGGAGCTGAGCCAATCCAAAGCCAGGAGCCAGGAGCTTCTCTGGGTCTCCCACGTGGGTGCAAGGACCCAAAGCTTTGGGCCATCCTCGACTGCTTTCCCAGGACACAATCCGGAAGCTGGATGGGAAGCAGGGCTGTCAGGCTTAGAACTGTTGCCCAGATGGGATCACGTCGTGTGCAAAGTGAGGACCGTAACCCCTACACTATTGTGCTGGGGCCACAATCTATTGATCTTAACCCCTGAATGTAAGTGACCAAACTCATCAAGTATCAAGAAGGTTTTTTATTTTCCTTTAATTTTTCAGTGACATATTTGTGATTCAGTAGCATGCTATTTAACTTCATGCTGTGACTTTTCTAATTTTTCCTCCTATTGTTGATTTTGTTTTATGGCTTCTCATTTAAGGGGATGTGTAGTAACTTTGTGATAAAGACTATCATATCCAGATGTGAAGATGCAATGCAGTGTATATCTCTACTTCCAAACCAAAGACAGACTGCCAATGAAACAAATGTATCTTAAGAGTCAGATGTTGGAATCCCTGCCATTATTAACGCCTACAGTGTCAGGACACACTTAAACAGCAGAACGATGGACTTATGATTGTGTATAAAGGACTACTACATGCATCGCATTGGAATGCTTACAGATCAACTTCAAACGCTTCTTTAGTGGCCTGGGGGATGTTGTACTTAGGCATGAGTTTTATAATCTTGGTTCCTGGTGGGGAAGGAGTCAGGAGCCACTATTAGGACCCGGTGTGCTGACCTAGTAGCCGGGTGCTTGCAATGCATGCACTGTGATCCCATGTAGGAACCATTTTGAGACCTGGACCCTCCACTTCCCATCCAGCTCCATGCTGGTGACCTAGGAGGGCAGTGGAGGATGGCCCAGGGCTTTGGGACTCTTGTGCCGGTGTGGGAGACCTGGAGGATGCTACTGGCTTCTGGCTCAGGTCAGCTTGGCTCTGGCCACCTCGGCTACTTTTGAGTGAACAGGTGGACAGAAAATCTTTTCCTCTGTATCTTCTTCTCTTTGTAAACATAACTTTGCAATAAAAATAAATAAATCTTTAAAAAATTAAAAATGACTCATGCAAATTCAGCTTTCCCTTCCCCCTTGGTTCCTGCAGAGTTAGCATAGTTCTACAAATCCTTTACTACTGGGACAGTTCAGGATATTTCAGCATACTGACATTTTTACAAGATATCATGGAAAATGTATATTATGAACATAAATTCCTTCTTTCTATAACTTTTGTGAAGTACCCTCTTCCTTTAGCTGCTGTTAAAAAAAAATGTCAAGGAAAAGGTATCAAGTAAAGACATGAAAACCCAGTGTTTATTATACTTCAGCATAATTCAATGAGGCACAACTTTGAAATGAAAACTTATTCATGGGCCCGGCGCGGTGGCGCAAGTGGTTAAGGTACTAGCCTTGCACGCCCGGGATCCCATATGGGCGCCGGTTCTAATCCTGGCGGCCCCGCTTCCCTTCCAGCTCCCTGCCTGTGGCCTGGGAAAGCAGTCAAGGACGGCCCAAAGCTTTGGGACCTTGCACCTGCATGGGAGACCCGGAAGACGCTCCTGGCTTTGGATCGGCATAGCATCTGCCGTTGCGCTCACTTGGGGAGTGAATCATCGGATGGAAGATCTTCCTCTCTGTCTCTCCTCCTCTCTGTGTATCTGACTTTCCAATAAAAAAAAAATCTTAAAAAAAAAAAAGAACTTATTCAAAAGAATAAAACAATAAAATATGAAATAGAAGCACAAGCCAAATATATGGGTGACAAAATTGGAAATTGTCTTTGGAGACTATTGAGAATCAAGAAATCATAACCTTGGCATAGAAAATTTAATGTTCCTTGGGCCCAGCACAATAGTGTAATAGTTAAAAGTCCTCACCTTTCACGTGCCAGGATCCCATATGGGCAGCAGTTCTAATCCCACAAGCCCCGCTTCCTATCTAGCTGTCTGCTTGTGGCCTGGGAACATAGTTGAAGATGGCCCAAGGTCTGTTGACCCTGCACCCATGTGGGAGACCCAGAAGAGCTCCTAGCTCCTGGCTTCGGATTGGCTCAGCTCCAACCATTGCAGCTGCTTGGGGAATGAACCAAGGAACAGAAGATCTTTCTCTCAGTCTCTCCTCCTCTCTGTATATCTGACTTTCCAATAAAAATAAATAAATCTTTAAAAAAAAAAGAAAATTCAATGTTCCTAGATTTGATCATCAACTCAGAGGATTGAGAAAATATAAAAAATTACACATGGAGTTGTGAAATTGAGGCTGAAGTCTGAATTTTGCAGACCGAACCTGCACTTCGAAGCAGCATCAAAGCAGCACCAACGATCTTCCTTGGGTCAAAGTCCCGGGTACACTTCCTTTCCTCATTGCCTGATCCATTAGAATCAGCCCGACCCCAGGGACTGGGACATCCTCAACCTACTGTTTTAATTAGAAGCTCTGCGTATGAATCCCTAGGGTCCTACAAGTGTAAATAATGAGCCAGCACCCTCAGACTTCGATTTGGCTGTGGAAATCTGACAGCTCCGTGATGTGTCCCACAGTCTTTTAGCACCTGCATGAGGAGGACACGGTCTGAGTTTGTCTCCATCCAGTCCCGAGTCAAGGTTGTGAGGTGTCACTGCATGGCAAGCAGAGGAGGAGCAGTGGACATTCACCTGGACCATGCCTCAACTGAGACTCAATCCAGCCTGGTAAGTGCTGAGGGAGATGCTAGAGGGAGATGCTAGAGGGATCCAGGAATGTCAGAAACACTGTGTTGTCAACATCAGAATGAAAATGACTTTGATAGAGCGGAAGCCAACAACAACATCTCTCCGCTGGGGAGTTTATGTTTGTGGTTCTCAACGGGCCCTCAAGGATCTCATTCAGAGATTTCCTTTTCTTTCACACTGATTCCCTACTCTCTGGCGTTGCCTTCATGATAGAGGCAGTTGAGTTTGTATAAACGCTCCCTGAGCAGCCAATCATGATCACCAAGTTGAGGATGAGCGTGCCAGGAACCAAAGCATAATAGCATCAGAGACTTTCATTGATGGCTTCCTAAAGTGCCAGGGTCTTCCTAAAGCGCTGTGTCTTAAATAGTCTGTCTCACCGCACTACATAACGCCTCCAGGTGCACTGCACATGTGCTTTTTCTTTGGTTTCACAGGACTGCCCAGCACTTCCGTGTAACTTGTATCAGGGATTGTCAGGTCTAACTCTGCATCAGGTGTTCTGGTTCCACACATAATGAGCGTGGCCAGTGTTCCCCTGTGATGACCCGGGCACTTCAGCTTCCAATCCCGACGGGAAGAGACCTTCTGCTCACCGTGCTCTTTCTCTGGAGTTTCTTTACCCATCACGATGAGCAGGAGCCAGGGAAGGGTGGCTAAGTTCAATGTCAAAGGTTATGAAACATGTAGTCGCAGGGTCATTCAGGGATGATCTTCCTCTTGGCCCCACGCCACAATTTTGCTGTACTCTTGAAACTTCCTCTCCTGCCCTTGTAATCACCCCACTCCATCTCAAAATGAGACACTCAGCTGAGGTGTGAGACCCCGCTCCTGTGCAGCAACTGCAGCAGGAATAGCAACAGACCTCACAGGTACCTGATGTTGTGACTTCTGAGAACTTGGCAGCGAATGGGGCACACTTGAAGTGCTTATAGGCACCCGATGCAGAGACAATGTTGTGAAGCCTCGTGTCCATGCCGCAGTCTATTTCTGTACTGGTGGAGTTTGTGAAAGGACCTCTGACACTTAGCTTTGTCATCTGACTGATACCTCAGTTAGGAACAAACGAACGTGGACTTGAAGCTCGCTTGCGTAATCTTACGTAACACGGAAGTCAATCATGAACAACGAATTCCAGATAGCGTTATAATTCTTTAAGATTAGTTTTCTTATCGTTCACAAAAATGCAACCTGCTTGATAATTGTGCATGCAAGTCTCAGTATGACCTGTTGTTCTTGTCCTATATAAGAATTTCAAAACAGTGGTGAAATGAGTGAAACGGAATGAAAAATTTGATGTTATAGTTGCCTGATTGTAAAATCCATGCACAGGTGCTTCAGAATATACCTTTTCCACCTAGGATGTAAGGAGTTTTATAGGAAAAATCTGTTTTCAATTAATCCATACTTTTAATTCCTCACTTTCAAAACTTTTCAGAAGATAAATGCACCTTCACAAATGTGTATGCTGTGTAGATTTTTTTTTTAAATGGATGTCTATCATTTCTGATTCCTCAAACCACATTTGCGCTTGAATAGAACAAGGTGAAACTTCTCTGTTGCCATTGAAGAGAGTCCTTCCTGGTGCATATCAATTGGCCATAGTAACTGTGGTTTCAACACACTTGGTGCTTTTTCGTCAGCACCTCTTCTTCTTCAGGAATTTCACATAGAATTCGAGAGCGCAATTTACCATGCATGCATCCAAGTCCCGTGTGTTTGGTTCCATCTGTTCCCAAAGCCTTAGAGTTCCCCATGCATTGTATGCATAATCAGTTGAATTAAAAATGTATACTGAGGGCCTGCCTTCGTTTTTTCTTCTCACTATTTTCTTTTCCTAAAGGAATCCTGGTTATCTTGAAACACAAAACCACACACGTGTCTCAGAATTCCATCTCATAAGCTTCTCAGAAGATCCAGAGTTGCAGCCTCTCCTTCTGGGACTGTTCCTCTCCATGTACCTGGTCACGCTGCTCGGGAACCTGCTCATCATCCTGGCTGTCACCTCTGACTCCCACCTGCACACACCCATGTACTTCTTCCTCTGCAGCCTGTCCTTGGCTGATGTGGGGTTCACCTCCACCACAGTTCCCAAGATGATTGTGGACGTCCTCACCCACAACACAGTCATCTCCTTTGCCGGCTGCCTGACTCAGATGTCTCTCTTTCTCCTCTTTGGATGCATGGATGATTTGCTTCTGACGGTGATGGCCTATGACCGGTTTGTCGCCATCTGTCACCCCCTGCATTACCAGGTCATCATGAACTCCCATCGCTGTGGCTTCTTAGTTTTAGCGTTCTTTGTGGTCAGCCTTTTGTATTCCTTCATGCAGACTTTGATGGTCTTCAGAATTACCTGCTTTAAGACAGTGGACATTTCCAATTTCTTCTGTGACCCTTCTCAGCTTCTCAACCTTACTTGCTCTGACACATTCACCCATGACATGGTCGTTTATCTTATTGGCATCATATTTGGTGTTTTTCCTATGTCAGGGATCCTTTGCTCTTACTCTAAAGTTGTCTCCTCCATTCTGAGGGTCCCATCTCCAGGTGGCAGGTACAAAGCCTTCTCCACCTGTGGCTCTCACCTCACAGTGGTTTGCTTATTTTATGGAACAGCCCTTGGAGTGTATCTCAGTTCAGCTTTGTCACTTTCTCCCAGGAGTTGTGCAGTGGCTTCCTTGGTGTACACTGTGGTTACCCCCATGCTGAACCCCTTTATCTACAGCCTGAAGAACAGGGACATCAAGAGGGCCCTACAGAGACTTTTCATCCAGACAGCATCATCTTGGTTGCTGTGCCGTGCATTTGGACTGCAGGTGGGAAAAGCAGCAGACTAAGCATCTAGAGCTCCAGATCTTCCTCCCTTACTAAAGGATGGAAGAACCTTCCTCTATTTTGCCTTCACACGTTGCTTCTTTTGTTCTATTGAACACAACATATTCAAGGTTATCTGAGTATGTTGTCCACTACATGTGTGGTCTCCACTATACTCATGGAGCTTTCCACGCTCCAGGAATCTTGGACAGATGAACAAGTCTTGCCTGGATCTCACACCAGAGATGCTGCCTAAAATGAGAATCCCTTTACTGAAATGCATTTATTTTATTATTTTGTGAGACATTCCCCATGGGTTCTGGACTTTGCCTCTCTGCTCTCCAAATCGCTACCCGCCCCCCACAAGCTGATTTCCCCTATGTCATTACGTCAGTATAGTCCTTCACAAACAGTCATATATTCATCATTCTGCACTTAAGTGTATCCTGACATTGGATGTGTAGACCGAGGTAGAGAGTTCACTGTGCTATTGTTAATATATATGTAAATTTCACTGAGAATCCTTCTTTGCTTTGGAAGGAGAGATGCACACTGCATTGTATCTTCGCATCTGGATACGATACCCTCTGTTACACAGTTATTGGACATCCTCTTAAATGAGAAGCCGTAAAATAAAATCAACAACAGGAATGTTCAACAACTTGAAGTTAACAACATGCTACTGAATGACCGTCGTGTTGTTGAAAAAGCATGCACAACGTGAAGTTAACGTGAAGTGAAATAACAGGCTACCAACTGCCTAACATGTTGTTGAAGAAGTGAAAAAGAAAATTCCTTGAAATGCGTGATGCTGCTATTTGACCCATGAGTCGCTGAGGAAATTCTCAAGAAAACAACAACTTTTTATTGAATGAATGAAAAGGAAAACAAAAATCTCAAACACCCTGAGATGTAGCACACACGGCAGTGAAAGGGGACAGCTCACCACGTGCACATAGTGGTGGCGTCTGGGATCCAGGCATGAGACTCCCTGTCCTGAGACCCACCTGCAGCCGGGAGGCTGCTGGAAGTTTAAACTCCCAGGCCCAAGGTCGTGCCCTTCCCCAATCCCATTCACCGCCCAATGAAGGCGGTGGGTGGTCCCGGACCTGCCTAGTCACGGAGACCTCCCCCCTCAGTGTACTCACCCCAAAGGGAGCAGCCCCCAGAGCCCAGGCAGGCCCGGGGACAGCTCACCATGTGCACGCAGTGGCCAGTATCTGGGATCCAGGCATGTGACGTCCCGTCCTGAGACCCACCAGCAGCCGGCAGACTGCAGGAAGATTTTTTTTTTTTTTTTAATATTCGAAGTCAAGCTAATTTATACTCACCATAGAATAAACTAAGGTGTATTTGAGTCACTTCATTTTTTGTGAATGAGAATGCTATCACACTTAAAGGAACAAAAGGTAATTCAAATTCTGTCTTTTTACAGTTACTGGTCTCATTTTCTGATCGCTAATTGTGAAAATGATGGGGGTCCCCAGTTTGGGGAAAATACATTTATGTAAAATTATAATATTCCAAGTATGCAGTGAATATTTTTCTCTGATTTGCATTACTAGTAACACCTTAGAGTTCTCCCTAAGAGTTTGGACTGAAAATATATGCAAGTGCTGTGTTCCAGTATTTCTTCTCTCTTTCAAAAACACAGCTTTCTTTTCTTGAAGGAACCTGAGTTATTTGGAAACAAAACCATACGTGTGTCTCAGAATTCCAACTCTTGCGCCACTCAGAGGATCCAGAGCTGCAGCCCCTCCTCCTGGGACTGTTCCTCTTCATGTACCTGGTCACGCTGCTCGGGAACCTGCTCATCATCCTGGCTGTCACCTCTGACTCCCACCTGCACACACCCATGTACTTCTTCCTCTGTAGCCTGTCCTTTGTTGACATGGAGTGGTCCATCTCCACCACAGTACTGGTAATGATTATGGACATTCACACACATAGCACTGTCTTCTATGCTGGCTGCCTGACTCAGATGTCTGTGTTTCTCCTCTTGGTATCTATGAATGATGTGCTGCTGACAGTGATGGCCTGTGACCACTCATCCCCTGTATTACCAGGTCTTCATGAGTCCCTTGCCTCTGTGGCTTCTCGGTTTTTCTGTCCTTTGTTGCCAGCCTTAGCTATCCTCTGCTTCATCATTTGATGGTCTGACAAGTTACTTGCTTTGAGGAAGTGGAGATTTCTAAATTCTTCTGTAATCTCTCCCAACTTCTCATCCTGAATTGGGTCAACAGTGAAATAGTCGCATTTCTTGTTGGCTTCATGTATGGTTTTGTCCCTATTTCATGGATCTTTTACTAATACTATGAAATTGTCCCCTCAGCGTTGAGGATCCCATCAACAGGTGGCAGTTACAAAGCCTGCTCCACCTGTGGCTCTCAGAAACTTGACAGTTGTTTGCTGATTTTATGGAACAGGTGTGTTTTTTAGATCCACTTTCTCAGTTTCTGCTGGAAGCATGCCATGGCCTGTGTGGTATTGTTGGGACCACCCTCAGACTCAGTTCCTTTATCTGCAACCTGATAAATAGAGACATGAAGAGGCTGAGACACATGGTCTTGAACACACAGTCTCATCTCAGACCCTGTAGCGTGCATTTGAATTGCAGATGGGAAAATGTATCAAAATCAACAAGCTAGATCCTCAAATCTCACATCCCTCCACACAGGACATGTAAGATTCCTGTGATCTCTAGGTCCTGTTTTTGAATAGTGCATCTTTTGGTTATTCTTACAGGGCACATCACAGATTATTAGAATATTATAACCACTGTATACCCAATGCGCTTATACCTATGGAGACAGCTGTGGTTTATCTTGATATTATAGACATTCTATTAAATCAGCAAATCTCCCTATGTGTTTAAAGTTCACATACTCTTCCTAATTCATATGTATTTGTAGCCATGAGGAAGTTGGAGGAGGGCAGGCTGAGCCCTGATAATTGGGCAATGACCTTGGGAGTGCCTTTGACCTTCAGAAAGGTCTGCAGTCAGGCACATGAATGGCCTTTTAATACATTGCCTAGGTGACAGCTCTGACACCGTGCACTCAAACCCACTTCTGCACGCTTCCTTTTCTGCTTAGAACACAACGGATGCTTATTCAAGTTCACAAGAAGCAGGATGCCCTTTAGTACTGTTTTGAATGCGTGTAACTACCACACTGTGTAGACTCTGACTCACTGAGTAGAAGAGCAGGTGTCCTTGAAGACCAAATATTCCCAAGTTGGTTTTTGAAGATTTTTTTAGAGAACCACATAAAATGGGTCTAAGGCAAGCTTTCAATAAACTTTTTCCTTGGACTTCTGATCCCGGGCTCCTGTGTCTTTAATATGTCAGGACTCCCACATCCCATGCCTGAAGATCTAAGAGCTCCACATGTGGTTACCATACACATTATGATTTCACCTACCGTATCTAAATGCTATCTGTGAGTGTGTGCAGGGAGCCTTTACAATACTGAAGTCTGTGTTTTACAGCAGAATCTTCTGATCTCTAGAATTTACGTGAATATTGAGATAAAAATTGTTTTAAGGATTTATTTATTTTTATTGGAAATTCAGATATACAGAAAGGCAGATACAAAGAGAGGAACATCTTCCATCAGCTGATTCATTCCCCAAGTGACCACAATGGCTGGAGCTGAGCCAATCCAAAACCAGGAGCCAGGAGCTCTTCTGAGTCTCCCCTGTGCGTGCAGGGTCCCAAGGCTTTGGGCCGTCCTCCACTACTTTCCCAGGCCACAGATTGGGGGCTGGATAAGAAGCTGGGCTGCTGGGGTTAGAACCGGCACCCATAATTCACATTTCATGGTAATTGGATATTATCCATTATCTTATAAAATCACTTATTCTTTAAACTGGAACAACCTATTCTGTATGCTTTGCTCCTCCTGAACTATTGTATGAAAGTATAAACTCAAGAATAAATATATAAAAGTGAATCATTCCACGGTGCCAGTGTAATTTGAGGAGACACTGCTTAGAAGTGAGGAGTCGTTCTGTCTGTCTGTGAGTTGCCCAGACATCAAGTCTCATCTCAAGCAACTGCTTTGGAAATGATGGAGAGGACTGTCTTTAGAGAATAACGATGGTGAGAAAATGGAAACGGTAGCAGACTATTGGTACAGTATCATTCTCCCTTAATGTCATGATTAATCAATGCCTCAAACAGCACAAAGAATCACTTATTGAATTGAAATGAAAAACCAGTATTGTGAGTTCACACTGAGGGGGGAGGTCTCCGTGACTAGGCAGGTCCGGGACCACCCACCGCCTTCATTGGGCGGTGAATGGGATTGGGGAAGGGCACGACCTTGGGCCTGGGAGTTTAAACTTCCAGCAGCCTCCCGGCTGCAGGTGGGTCTCAGGACAGGGAGTCTCATGCCTGGATCCCAGACGCCACCACTATGTGCACGTGGTGTCAGCAGCCTGCACTTGGAAGCAGCAGCAAAGAAGCACAGGTGATCTTTCTTGTAATTGTGAGGTGAAACAAAAATATATATATATATATGCATTGTAATAATTAAAAAAAGAAGAAAAGAACAGGAGGATACTGGATGGGGAATATGGGCAGGAGGGAGGGTGGTTGGGAAGTTACACTATGCTCCTAAATCTGCTTTGTGAAATTTATTTTCTTTATATAAACATCTTGTAAGAAGAAAAGAGGAAGCAATCTGCCATACCAATTCCTCTACCAAATCCTGGACAAATCCCTACGTGTGTGTCCATCCCCAGAATCATGGGATTCCCAAGGTCCAGTCCCGACGTGAGAGCCTCAGCATTCCCTGCTCACAGGATTTGCACAGGGCTGGACACTCATTTCCCAGTGATGTTCCTCACTAAGGGAGCCCAGCCCAGTGAGTTCTGTTGGGCGTAGAGGCTGAGGGAGGGTTGTGGAACTTTTGCTTCCCCATATGCTGGTGAGCAGAGTAGATGAGATGGTTTGGTTCATGGGGGAAATCAAGAGGTGATGGAAAGGTTTATTTCTTTCACACTGATTCATTGCAGATTA